ATTTTTAACAGACTTTGAAAAAAAGGGAGGAGGTTCTCATTTCAACTGTTATTTTTGTATGTTACGCGATAACTTTGTGTACCGATTTTGATGATTCTTTTTTTGTTGGTAAGAGGGTACGTCAGTATTGGTCCCGTTTAAATTTCGAAGAAAATATTCCACATCCAAAAATGGCAAACTAGGGGAAAAATTAGTCTTCGCGCACTTTCCGGTAACCGATATTAATAAAACTTGATTCCACGAACTTTTCAGGTCGGTTTTTACATAAAAAAGTTACAATGAGATACAATAATTTTATTATTATACCAACAAATGTTTCGGGTTCATCACAGGTGTCATGGAAATGGCTGACTATTGCTTTGACGGTTAAGGAAACAAATTTAGACCTGAAAAAATAAAGAGTCATTGTTGCCAAAAACTTTGCTTATGATATCAAGTGGTGGGACGACCATTTCGTGCGCCTGGTGGTAAGCAAAGTAATACGCCTGTTCACAACTGTAGCTGTGCTGCTTTATTTCGCAAAGATATGAGGTGCACTGCCATTGCGCCTGTCGCCCTGAGAAGACAGAAATTGACAAGTCCCATGTGCTTGTAATTTCACCAGCACCCTTACCCTTCAAAACCGAAACGCAGCAAGCTTAGCAAGATTAGCATTACAGTTTGACACCTTACAGATTGAAAGAATTTTTGTTTGTGCTCGATCATTATTTTAAGAAAAATTTCATAAAAAATAAATTAATACCATAGTAGTAAAACATCGTACTATTCAATAAAAATCAACATTATTATTATTTATTTACTTAAACATTATAACAATGTTATTACAGGATTTTTCCAATTCAACAATGTTATGAAGTAACAGAAAAAATGTGCAAAGTCACCTTCTCGAATTCTAAATTTATAATATAGTACATGTGTACGATATACCTATTTAATACAAACAGTTGCAAAATAGAATACGTTACATGGTATTTACAGTTTAAGGTTGACCCTACTTGTAAGGAAATTTACTAGTTACCGAGCCTGTTTATATTTGAAACTATAATTTTAATGTGCATTCAACTTGTTTTTTTTTATTGACACTGAAAATAGAATGTACCGGTAGTGAACTATGTAATACTTCGTTCGAAAAATAAGTCGCAAAATTTAAATTTTTTACTACATTCGTATAATACGAAAAAATCAGTTTAGTTTGATAGTTATCAGAGATATTTCAATAAAATTTTCTCTCCCGTGTCCCATAATGAATACGCCAGGGGACTATGAGCTTATTTTACAGTAACAGAGTGTATTGTATTTATAAAAAGCAAATTATTCAATATCGTGCAATGAATTCCTCGGCGTGTACCTCACACGCTTCAAAGCCTAGGGTACCTTAATCAATACCTAATTTTACCTTAATCAATACCTAGTCTTTTAGACATTGTAACGATTCTTAAAAGACATCATTGAGACAATAAACTAAGGCTTTGTCAGAGAAATAGTAACATTGACGGCGTTTTGTATAATAGGGTTCGCGCCATCTAGCGGCGACAGTCATGTATTTCTTGGTTAATTCAATCTCTCAGCTCAAATAGTCAATGTAGGAATAGCGTGCCACTTACATTGTGTAGTTGTTTTATGTCTTACAAGTTTATTACAATCTTAACCAGAGGCAATGGTCAAAATTAATGACCAACATATACTTAAAACAATTGTACAAACTTACCTCTGATTGCAATGTAGCCTGCAGTTCTTCATTGAGCTTTTTCAGTGCTTCGATCTGAAACAAAAAAGCAATTTGTTAATAAATTATACTGTATGTATATTGATTCCTAATCCTCGCTTGGAATTTTATTATACGTAGTAGTTTGATTTATTCGCGTACAAATATACAGGGATGTATGTACATATTTCATCAGGACAATAATTTTGCATAGAAAATCGTTCCTGCCCTCTGTGAGCACAGAGACTAATAAATATGTCTTATACGGATACAACACAAAAGGTTGCCTATGTCAAATTCGAAAAATGACGGTGCTAAAACGGTCACTAAGATAAGATAAAATCATATATTCTCTATTAGCAACAAAGGCAAGTTTGCAATTTAAATTTCACCCTGCATGAACTGTGTATAACAGGAAAAACGTCACATGGACTACACAATAACTTTTACATAAACCATGTCGCTTTGCATTCGAATACATTCCACTCTGACCTATTGGCTGCGCATAATCTTCCAAATTTAAAATTCAAAACGACGCCGCGCGATTGGTTGTGGTACGATTTCTTTCTTTTTTCAGAGCGGCAATGATGTGGCTGTTTTCAGCCAGTTAGATGTTTTACTTTTGTTACGTTCTTAACGTTTAATCACCCATTAAGCCGAGCTATAAACCGTTTCGTATAAGATACATTACGTACGCATGTATGGAAACGTTCGCCTGCGATTTTGTTTTCACCAAAATTATTTCTTTCCTTTATCCGAGGCTAAAGATCTCTTTCTTTAATTTGACTTGATGAAATACTTCCGTTTAAAAATTTATAAAACGTAAGTTTACAAAAGTAATAATATTGACAACAAACAAAAAATTGAAATACCCTGCCTAAAATAGAAACAGAAAAAAAAAACAAAGAAAATCGATTATTTAAGGATCTGGGACGCAATTATAATCACAGATCAGTATCAGTCATTGACAAATTCAGAAGTTTTTTTTGGGATAGGTGGAATAAATTAGAATCCATTTGTCTCCAGCGAAAGATTACATGAATAAATGTGTTTTTAGATGTGACGAAACAAAAAATATATATGAAACGTTGTTTTAAGCGTTCTAAGGCAAAACTTAGGCAAAGTATAGCCGAGTTTGGCCGCACGTTTTGATTGTAAAATGTGATCCCTCTGGTAATATTTTTGTAAATTATGTACAAAAATTATATTCCTTTTACGTGGTAGGTATCTGTTTTGATTATTAAAATCAATGAAACATGTTGAGGTCCATAATGAGTGTTGTCAATTTGATATAAATATGACATACCCAGGATTTTTTTTATGATATCAAGTAACGGGACGAACATAAGAGTTGCAGTGCCACTCAGAGCTTTAAATCACAAAGACTTACTGCCTCTGAGACATAAGTAGCAAGTTCCATGTGCCTGTAATTTCACCAGGCTCGTATGAAATAAGGTGCTTTACTGGTACTAAAATGATGAGGATGAAAGTATGCTTCTTGCTGAGCTATATGTATTTTTAACTTTTTTTTGTGTTTTTAAGCATTACGTGTTATGTCAGAGTATCAACATGCTGTAGTCGAGTTTGTTTAATTATTAACATGTGCTGTTTTTATTTATTCATTCTTTTCATTGTATTTTATGACATCATGCTCACACGAGGCCAACTTTCAAACGTACGTAGGTAAATGTACCTTTGACTTTTAGTTAGTAACGGGCAGGTTCCCCGAAAGCTAACGTTATCGAGTCGACAGATACCCCGTGCTAACAAGATAGCGTATCTACCCTACGAGCCAGCGGACTGTACATGCGGGCAATAGAGACGGAGTGTTAACGGCACATTGTCGGGACTCATATAATGCGACAGCATAGTGGAATTAGGGTCAAGTGAGACCCAAATTTGAAGTTTTGATGTATTACGACCACACTAATACGAAATAGGAATTAAATTTGATTTTTTTAATAATAACGAAACAGATGCTACCGGTAGCGATGGGGCCCGAAACACGATTGAGTAAACTTCCCTCGAATAAAATAATCATAATTTTTTTAATTATTGAATTGGTATTCAATTATTTTTATGTGAAATTACTCCACTAGTTTGTTATAATTATTAATACAAAGATCGAACACTCAGAAAAAATTCCTTCGATCCGGCCGGATTCGTAAAATTCGTGACGTCCGCTGCTTGGTTCCGTGGTTTAGATCGTATAGCGTCTGGCACGGTGTGCTAGAAGACGTCGGTTCGAATCCGGCGGGATCGAAGGAATTTTTTCTGAGTGTTCGATCTTTGTATTAATAATTATAATAATCATTAAGTTAAGCAAAATTTTCCGAAAAATCAGTTTTATTCGATTGTTATCTTCTTTAGTCTTCTCAGCTTGTTAGCTGGTTTGAACCACATTTACAGACCTAAGTCAAGTAAATGCAGTATGGCGTGTATCTACGAGTATGTGGTGCTTGTGTAATAAGATCCTACTTCGTCCTCTTCCATCTGCATGAACTTTCTGACGATGCGGCATGTATTTAAAGTTACAGCTTTTTGCAGGGTTAGGTAGAGGCTTTCTTTATACCCTAATAATTTAAGGCTATGGAGAAGATGATTAGGAATAATGCCTGTTGTGGAAAGAACAATTGGTATAACAGACAAAGACACTTCATCCTTTAGATCAGCGTATTTACTTATTTTTCATTTATAGTCTGCTTCTTCTTCTTCTTTATTATTATTATTATTATTATACACTGCAATTATTCGGCATGGTATCCTACAGATCTCTGGAAGGATATCTCAGTCTCTATTGGCTCAGATCCCTTTTTTTATCCCACCAATACCACGGTACGTTCTACGCAGGCGTCGACACCCTCTGTTCGCTCTACATCTAATTCGCACAGAGGCACTAAGGCGGACACCATTCTACGAGGCTCTACCCTTGATAAAATCTTTAAATGTTATTAATGATAGTGTCGTGTTCAGTAGTTCTCAATTGAAATCTTTGACATCGACTGGTTGATGGACTTGTAGACGTTCACAGCCCGAAGCTGTGCGATCGAAAGTCAGCCTGCTTTTGGACGGTGATTGACTCATCCCTATATTGACTATGGCTTACAGGTTTCGTTTTTGTTACTGTTAGTTTAAGTTGTATATATATTTTTTATTTATTTATTTAGTTCAGGCCACACGACCCATATAATATATACCTTAAAGACTAACATACATACAATACAATAAAAACACTATTTTTAACTAATCTACACGAATTGCACTTGTCGGCGACGAGTGGTGCAATCTGGTGTTAGGTAACTGGCCGCGGAACTGCCGATATAAGACACGCTTCGGCCGAAATTCTTCCTTCTTGAAGGTGGACAGATGTTCGGTCGGTACTCTCAACACAAACGAATTGAAATTCACGTTGTGGCGGGACTCCAACCGCTCGACTCTTAGGGTGTATTTGGCTTTATGTCTGATGTACTCCACTATCTCCTCAGACTTCGTGGAGTAATGCTATCGCGACAGGTACAGCAGCGTCGTCGGTAAGGCCGGACGCAGCAGGAAGCTCGGTCCTGTCGGTGCTGTGCCACACTGGTTACGGCTGGTGGGCTTCCTCTTCTTGTCCACTTTTGCGAAGCCGTCCTCATCGCATCGGTCCATCTGCCTCTGTGGTTTTGCAACTTCAGAGACTATAATATGAATAAATAAATACGTCCATAGTTTCTACCAACCACGTTACGGTACGTACAGAGTCAAGACCATATCAAGCATATTTATGGTAATTTATTTTAGAATTTAAAAAGGGTATATTTTATTAGGTTATCATAGTTAGTTCAGTATTTATTATCAGTAGCATCATGGTTAAATTCAACGTTATGTGACTTGACTTGATGTAACCTTAACTGTAGAAGAATATTGAATTATAGTACAAGTTTGCATACTCATTTTGATAAACTAGGTTCGGGAAAGAAATCGGGACAACAAAATTCGTATAGCATGAAAGAGCGCTTTGACATCACTAGAGCTTAGTACACATTGTAGAGTTAAAGCGGGTTTGACCGTCATTCGTTTCAATCAATCGTAAAACATGGTTGGAATTTTAAAATGAACATTATTACATTCACCACTACCACACTAACTCAAAATCCAGGCTTTATCGTGATTTATAACAATTTGTAGCGATCGCTCTCTGCACCTATGACACCAGTATTTTAGTAGCAGTAGAGCTCCTTGTGAAAGAGTTCGTCCAGGGAAGTGCTGCCGACTTACCTATTTCTGCCGCCAAGCAGTAATGTAAGCATTATTGCGTTCTGGTTTTGAAAGACAAGGGCACTGCACTTTTATCCTTGTAATTATTGAGTATATAGCATTCAATTTTATGATGTATTAGATTTTATTTTAAACCAAGGAGCCAACTTTCCTTTCATTTGTTCAAAGGTTGGCTACCCGACAGATTTTTGTGACTTAAAGCACTAAGTGGTACTGCAATTACTACGGACAGGCGTGTAGTTTACCATCAGGCAAAATACTTGTTCCTCACGTTACTTGATATCATAAGAACACACATCTATATTAATGTATATTTTTAAGCGACTTCTAAAAAAGGAGGAGGTTCCCAATTAGTCTGTATTTTTTTTGTATGTATGTTACAGGATAATTTGTGAACCGATTTTGATGATTCTTGTTTTGTTTGAAAGAGGGTACCTCCGTAGTGGTCCCGTTTAACTTTGAAGTAAATATTCCACTCAAACTAGGGATGAATCCGGTTTTGCGAACTTTCCGGTAACCGATTTCAATAAATCTGTCAGATGTATTTCCACGAACTTTTCAGGTCGGTTGTTTTTATAAAAAAATGTAATACTTAATCGAACCTTTTTAACTCTGTACTGAGATTATTGAACATTTAAGTATGATAAGGTTTGTTGTCTATGCCTGGTCATGGTGAATCGTGATGAAACCTATGTACATGGAAAACGTATGGTAAAAAGTGCTCAATCCACATTGGGTCAGAGTGGCTGGGAATGGTCTAAGCCCGTAGAGGAGACCCGTGCCCAGAAGCGGCACACGTGAGACCGGTTCTGATATAATTCGCACTGTTAATACAATAGTGTATTAACTCAAAAAGTGTATTTTCTCAGAAACCATGAAAAACGAATTACTCACTTCCCGTGAAAGATTGATAAAATTTATGTATATAGGTTATAGTTTATTACAGACACTTAAACAAATTTCTACTTGTCAAATATATTTTTAAAAAAAAAGGAAAAAATATTTCACATTTTTTAATAAAGACTGTTTTGACCAAAACTCGATCACATAAAGTGTGACGCATTGGGAGTTAAGTAGATATCTTTTACTTATTTGTAACAATATTCTAACGATGGTTTTGTTGACGTGTAGAGAATCATATTTTACATTCAGTATTGATATAATATTGAATTTCACATATTTTGAGTTACAATATTATTGTAATAGCAGTGCCATGTTAGTGCGAGATGTAGAGGTGAGGTTACGTTAAATGCATATAAGTGAACGTCATACTCGCTTTTCGGCTTCGATAGAACCAGGTAAAAAGGTTATCGAACTGTATGTATTATCCTTGACAAATGTTTCGCTGCTGATAACGAAAGCGGAAGAGATATTTGCCAAGTCTTGAACTAACCTCTTGACGTACACCTCGTGTAATATTAAGAAAAAAAAGCTAGCGTCATCATTTGGTTGACATAAAAACTTATTGGCCATTTGTACTGAAAAAGTTTCACTATCCGTCTATAGATGGCGCCACGTAATGAACATTTGAAATACTGAAAACAAAAAATTGTTTCTGTTTTTGTAATTGGATAGGTATATTCAGATAAAGTATTTCCCCCATACTTTTAGTACCGTATCAGTAGATTAATTACAGAAAGAACCAAGTGAACATGACATGGAAATTGGTTTTAATTTAATAGTCGTCATCATCATGGTTTAACACTAGCACTAGCATTAACTGCAACATTTTCAGTTCTTCAAAATGTTCTTTGCAAATTTTGCAATACAGATATTTCATTTTATTGTGATTTTTTTTAACATTATTAAATGATGGGACGAACAAACTGTGCGCCTGACTTTAAATCGTAAGACCTGAGGGGTACTGCCGTTGCACTCATCACCTTGAGAAATAAAACTGACAAGTCCCATGTGCCTGTAATTTCACCAGCGCCTTTCCCTTCAAATTTCAGTAAGGTTACATTATTACGACAGGAATATGTAAGGCGGCCGTACTTCCCTGTATGACGTGTTTCACAAGTAGCTCTACTATTAACACATTCTGACCGGGAACACAATTACCTTTATTAGCTGCTCAGCAGGAAATATTCTCACGTGGCCACCAGCAGTGCATCATCGCCCCATCAATTCTTAAATTTAATTGTTCTTTCTTTTATTTACAATTGTGCTTTGTTTAAATTCAATTTTTGCTTACCTCTCATATGAATAATTATTGTCGTAGTCATTGTTTTCAGAATATTTTATCCGTAGGTGGAGGCCTGGAGGCACAGAGTCTCCTAGTTTAGGCACCAGCCTTTACAGACAACAAATGTTTTGGTTTATGTTATTTATGTTTTTTTTTATTTATTTAGTACATTTGTAGTCCTTTTTTCAAATAAATAATTTTTTAACCTTGATTTGTTTTACTGTATTACACAATACCAAGCTCCTGAAAATTTGACTGTTGCCCGTTGTTGACAGTTAAATTTAGCATTTTCTCTCATGGCGGCGTGGGTTTCTTAGTATACCAAAAGTCAAGTGGTGTGCGACCACTGATGGACCACTCTCCACCACAGTGGTACACACCAGTCTGAATGTGTTAATAATTTTGTACCACCTTACTCAGCTTTTAAAAGCAAACATTCTCAAAGAATTCTCACTGATAGAACAAGTTCATAAGAGCTGTAACTAAAGATATAAACATCTAATCTGAAAATATGTTGTATTAAAAAATAATAGACAACATGCTATTCAAATGGAAACATCCAATGAATTTAAATACTGACATAGCTACGCTGTGTGGTGCAATCTCTATTATCTCAAAAAACTACAATTAACTTGCAACATTTAGTTACATGAATGCAACTATAGGTACAATAAAAAATGCACCAATGAAAACGAGGTGACAATTAATGTACACGCGTTATTATCGTATAAGGGAATTAGCTAATCACGAGTCGCGAAATTGCGATACTCAATATACAATTATACTTATACACTATAAAAAAATAACTTTAAATCCATTTTAAAGTGACACGCTGAGAATCTACGATTATAAAAATGTTTAAACAAATAGGAAGATTAACTAGATTTGCGGGGGCGCTATGCAAACCAAATTATAATAGCTAAGTTTATAAATTTCATAACATAACCTTATAAACATCTGTCAAATACCAAACATAACTAAGATGCTATAGATATTGCGAAAACTTACCTCGAGTTCCTGTTTTTGGCATTTCTCTTCTAGGTTCTTAGGAGAAGAGTCTGTGTTAGCAGCTTCATCGCCAGAAACGGGAGAAACACCTTCGGATAAAACTTCTGAAGCGAAATTTGTAATCTGTCCCTTTAGACTGTTTAAACTTTGATTCAAATTCAACCAAGACATTGTAACCAATGTAGATTATCATCACATATCACTATTAACGATTTGCAAAGGAAATCCGGACATGTAGCAGATGTAAACAATAAGAATATTGCATTATTTTGCAATAGTGACAGGACTTTGTCCAGTTGGCAAAACAAGTCGGCACTTGACATTTCAGGGCCTCGTTCGTTTCGTCGGGTTTCTTCATTGAAAGTAATCAGTAATTCCTAGAACACCAATGATCTTACACAGGGTGTAATAGTTAAATGTGCCCAGGCGATTCTTCCGTAAATATAAGAAATATCAAGAACCTTTAAACTAATATCGAAAGTATGTAGTAATTTATTGAGTAAAAAACATCAATAACTTTTTTAAATAAAACTGGAAATATCCAAAGTTTGAAAGTTCAAATGCTCCTATATATTTAGCATGACACTCGTAGAGAGACTTTATTTCGAACAATTCTTCTGAATACAAAAGTTTGTACGAAAAAATAAACATCATTTTGTTGCCATTCAATTAAAAAATAGTTTTATTTCTTTATTTATAGCAGTTTCGTTATCTGTAAACTTGATTTATCTGTTGGCCATAAAGTTTGTTAAAAAAAAAAGTTGCTTGACAGGGATTATGTTTATAATCTTTGGAAAGAATAAAAAAAAATAGTACCTATTTTTTTTGGACGTGATATTAACCACAAATTGAAAGATATAGTAGGACATTATCATAACTACCAATTTTTGGACGTGACGTTGTCCTCCGACTATAGCCGTTTACTGTTTGTAGTTTTAACAATATTTACATTAATACATTGAATCCAAGTCTATTATTGATTAGCTTAACTTTAATAATAATTACATTCTTAAAACTATAAAAATAGGAGTCAATTTTACAGTTTTCAGATAAAACCTAACCTTAAAACATGGAAGTTACGCTCACCCAAAAACCATTGAAAACATATTCAAAAATTGGCAATATTCCCCCTAAAACAACTCAGAAAAGATGTTATAAGACTCGCATTACCATACTGGTGAAACGTGAGCCCTTGACGACAAAGAAAGCAGTAGAATTACTGTTAAACGGTACTTTAAAAAGACAAGTGTGCCGATATTGTATGAATGTAACCAATGTGCTTAATGATTTGGACCAGATAATGCATATTAGTGGCAAAGACGCTCTGTACAAAATCTCTATAAGAGATATGGTTGCTACTTTCCACCCATTTAAGGTAAGACAAAAACTGAGAGCTTTATAAAGTATAAACTTCTCCCTCTTTTCGTATCGATGGCATATTTAGTAGCAGTAGAGCTCCTTGCGAAAGAGTTCGTCCAGGGTAGTACTGCCACCTTACCTACTTCTGCCGCCAAGCAGTAATGTCAGCATTACTGTGTTCCGGTTTTTAAGGGTAAAGGTGCTGGTGAAATTACAGGCACATGGGACTTGTCAACTTACGTCTCAGGGTGACGGGCGCAGTGGCAGTGCCCCTCAGATTTTTCATCAGAGGAACTCGATTTAAAACTCTGAGTGGTACTGCAACTGTCTGCGCCTGTCCATAAGACAGGCATTTAGATTACCATCAGACGCACTACATGTTCGTTTCGTCGCTAGATATTTTATAAAAAAAAGCTTACCATCATGATGAAAGCATTTGTTAATAGGAATAATGTGGTAGTTGATTGTTGTCCAGGATGTGCCAGATATACAGGAAAGGATTGGTAAGTCGTTCGAAGAGCCTTCTTTCGTGCAACATAAAGTATGAATTAGCAGTATGTGAAATACGTAATTCAATGCTGGAAAGGTAAAATGTTCAACATACATTTGGTAAATATTACAGAAGAGCGATTAAAAGTATTTTATTAAGAAAAAAAGCTAATTTTATTTGTTATATAAAAAAGTAGAAAGTTTCAGCTTTTCCATATAATTAACCCTTAATTACTCGCGCCTAAAAAGTTACACAAACGCTCGCGTGGGGTCCGTGCGTACCCCAATTTTAAAGTGAAAATAAAACTTCATTAATAGAAAATCAGATAGTTTTATTAAAGAACTTTAAAAATCAACACAAAAATGAACATTTGGTATCAAAAAAAAATTAAACTAATTAAGCAAAAATAACATAAACATAAAAAAATTACGAACTGTTTTTTTCAAAGCAAATTGTACACAATGTAATTAAATGATCCTTGCAGACGAATTTTACACATTTCCCACATTGGGACCTTGTTTTCTTGTCCTTAGACCTTGGGCACACGACACACCTGCCTTTAGATGTTGAAGGAGTCGAGAGTGTAGATGGGCCAGGAGTCGCAAGTTCCTCGTCTTGCCTCAGGCGTTTTTGTAGTGTTCGAGGCAAATATGGTATATTTTTTCGAGCAGTTCGGTGTGGTTTTACTAATTCCACAGCCAATTGCTTCAAGAATACTCTCCTGGTTATATTGTGGTCCACCATGGCTTTATATATCACGTATGCGTTGATACCACTAACATTACATAGATGGAAAAATATGACCATTGGCCATCTTTTTGTACGGCGCCCTACATTATACGATGCACACATTTGATCGTTGGTATCAACACCCCCCTTAGTTTGATTGTAATATTTTATTATTTCAGGTTTTCGCTTATCGCTTTCTTCAATTTTGTCGTCATGATGCATGGATGATAGAAGTAAGACTGCCTTCATCGGTTTTGAAACGTATGAGCATAATGTAAGGTTGTGTTGAAACCCAAACAGGCTTGAACAGATTGCACGTTCTTTTGATCCTTGAAAGGACGAAGGTATCTCACGCTTGTTTTTGCGTAATGTTCCAACCATGGTCAAACGATGGTCGTCGAGAAGATTTTTTGCTAAGGTAACACTCGTGAACCAGTTGTCCATCGTGACGTTTCTGCCAGATCCGGAAATGTTTTCCACCATACGAGTTACAAGGCTTACTGTGTCGTTGGGAAGCTTGAATGGCCCATTAGGTTGAGTTCCAGCATATATTTCAAATTTATGTAAGTAATACGATGCAGAGTCCACGACAGCAATATGCTTTATCCCATATTTATTGGGTTTACTGGGCATATACACTAAGCCTGAAAATCTTCCTCGAAAAGCCGGCAACTGTTCATCGATAGTTACATTTTCTGATAAGCTATAATTGTTCTGAAATGACGCATTCAGTAACTCACATAAATCTCTTACTGCAGCTAGTTTATCCAGGCTGTTTCTTTCTTCTCTAGTATTGCGGTCGTCAAAACGTAGGCATCTTAGTATGAATAGAAATCGATTGCAAGACATTGTAGTTTGAAAAAATTCTATCTCTGTGCCATCCGTAGCCCACAAATCTTTGTAATTCAAGTGCGATGAGCGTAGAACCCCTGACATTAAAAGTAAACCAAAGAAAGCCAATAGCTCCTCTGAAGATAGCACCTTGCAATCTCGGTCGCGCCCAAAATTTTCCTGAACCGACTGTATATACATGTTTGTAGAAATTAAAATCAGGTCCAATGCTTCTTTAGTAAAAACAGTCACGAAAGCCTCTGTGAATGTTGTTACCGCCCTTGCCTGTCCTTTAGGTCCAGCGGATTCTCTTATTATATTATGGCTCCGAGTTCTGACACTAGTTCTTGGTGGTAACTTAGACCATTCAGTTACTTTATCTTTTCCAACATAGACAGAATTTTTTCTACTATGTACTGTGGGTACCCTGTCATTTTCCGGCAACAAATACACTGGCAGTTCATCTTCACTACTCCACTGACTGACAGCGCTTTGAGCAGATTCCGATTCGTGGTTGCTATCTAATATTATCTGTTCGCCTTCTTCTTCAGAAGGACTATCAAAAAATTCCTCCTCTTCCAAAAATTCTTCAATTTGCCGATTATTGAGTGAACGATTGTGGTGGAAACTCATTGTGTGTTATTTGAGACCCTAAAATGAAACAAAAAATATTCGTATATTTCATATATGAACTAAAAAAATAAGAAATACAAAAAAATAATAAAAATCTTACCTCCAAAAAAGTCACGTATACACTCGCGTGGGGTCCGAGCGTACCCCAAACGCACTATACAGACACAACCGCACACTACCAGGTCATGCCCGCGACTGTTTTATGGCGTGGGGGTTGTTCTAGGAAGCTACTAAGCGCGTGGGCAACACACGTGGTAATTTTAAGAAAATAAAGTCGTTGAAACTTGCGTTGGGGTCCAAATGTACCCCACGCGAGTAATTAAGGGTTAACAAATAAAATTAGAAAAAAATAATAAAAAAAAATATTTTAGAGTAAATTTTTCTCTTGTAATGTTTTCCAAATGCATGTCAAACGTTTTACCTTTTCAGCATTGAAATGTATAGATGTGGTTTGATTCATTGGAAAAATAATTATTGTGTATTTGGTTATAAAATTTTTAGGTAATAATATTCTACATACTATACAGTGCTTTAAAAAAATAATGTCACCTTGTGCCTCTATATTATTTATGTCACTAAAGCTACATTGGTAACATGAAAATTTGCACTCTTTATGAAAACAAATTTTCCATACAATTTCAGGTAGTGGACGACCCAAATTTTCCAAACAAAATCTGTGAAAAATGTCTAAATGAAACCACACGCTTTTATCTTTTTGCCCAACAATGTGAACGATCAGAGCGCGCATTACGAAACTGTTTTGATGACATGTATGAAAAACTGGAGAAGCTCGACCCTTTAGAACGTACTAAGAAAAGGGGTAGGCAGAAGCAAAACCCCAATCAAAACATATTATATACTGAACATAAGTATGTGATTGATTATGCTGACCCAATACATTACCTTATAAATTCTGGTGCTGTACCTTTGACAAATGAAACAATGATGTCGGAGCTAGAATGCAAACGATGCTGGCAAGTCTTACCAAATTTAGAATCTTTAGTAAATCACGAAATGATTCATCCAAAAACCATGTGGTATAACTGCAGATTATGTGGAAAGTCGTTTTCTAAGAAATTTCATTTGAAAAAACATCTACGGTCACATAAAAATTTAGAACTAATATCTGAATCTGAAAAGGCTTTTGAATGTAAAGAATGTGGGTATATTAGTGAAGATTACCATATACATTTACAGCATATAGAAAAACATAAGTTTGGAAGGGTGTTGCAGCAATTATTGAAACGTAAAATGGATACTCTATGTTCTGTTTGTCTAGACAACAAATCACAGATGACAGATCTTGATAAGACAATATGTTTGCATGGAGGATACCCTGAATTGACTGGAGAACGGAGTGTATTTAATATTCTTGGTGCTAGTGTGCCAGAGGTAATGTATTCTATGTATTACATTTTTAAATTGCTCAACACACTTTAAAATATCTGTATTTTTGAACACATAGCATTTAAGTCATAATTAGCAGGCTGGCTTGATGACTATATGGACGCATTTAGAATTGATCTGCATTGATGAATGCATAGCAGAAATATTTTGAATGTTGTACAGAAGGTAGCATATCAAGCTACACATTAAGGGATGTTGCTCCATTGCACTGGAGGCAATATTCAAACAAAAGTGTAGCTTGATTTGCTGTTGACTGTACAAAGCTATTAAAATATAACGTTTTTCGTGGGTGTAGCATGCAGAAATTGATATTGTGACAAGGAATCTGAATTAACAACTCTAACAAGATAGATTTTTTTATAGCTTTGCTTGTTCTCTTATGAATCTCGTTTTTCTATTTGCCAATTGTGACTTATGTTTGTTTTAAGTAAAATTAGTACCTTTGTATGTTTTATATGTAACTATTGATTTTTTTGTGGTTATGCCTTATATACAGTCCTGTGCAATAGTGCATCCTCTATTATGCATTTACTATCGCATCTGGCAATATCAATAATTACACTTTTGATTGTGTTTTCTAGCTGAAACAAAAATACAAATACCAAGATCTGTGTATTCCTTATCAAGCAAACATTATGTCTATTATTAAGAAAATTAAAGATGAAAAGTCATATTCAAAACAAAACTACGTTATTTCAGCACCTATAATACTATCTACTGAAAAGAAAGAGTATGGTAAAACATATTTATTTAGTTTTGCTGTACCTTTAATTAATTTAGAACGAGTAATTATGGATAATGACTTTATTGATGAAGGTAATCAATGGATTACAAGTAATAATGGACAGAATGCTGAAACAAGTGATTATACCAATAATGAAAGTGGTACGGAAAGATTTAATGGTAAAGTGACATGTATTAATTATGATTTTGATGAAAGTGGTCACAAGGGTGGTCCACACAACATTGATATAGATATGGCAAATAAATACGAAAAACATATACCAGGTAAAGAAAATATAAATTTCATATTTTCAAAGCCAGAGTATGTTATAGATGATAATAAATCCACCGACAGTTTTATTGAAACCAAAAATGTCGAGGTGAAACAATGTAAAATTTGCTGGATATTCAAGAAGCCTACTTGCAAAGACTGTGTTGCTAGAATAAATGAGGATGAAGAACTTAAATTGTATAATAGAAGAGAAATCTGCCAGATCAGCTCTTCCGACAATGCTACTGAAAAGAAGCCTTGTAAATTCTGCTGGATTTTCAATAACAATAATTGTGACATTTGCAAGAGTTCGAGAAAAACTGAGCTTTCGTTTTCCAAAATATCTACCATTGTAGATAGTGAATTTGAAATATCAGAAAACATATTAAAACTCAAAGAGCGTGAAGATTTCGATGTGAATCATATAATCACTGGTAAAGCCACCTCAAGTAATATTATCTTTGAAAAAGATAATAAATGTGCGAAACGCAAAATTGTAGGGGATGCTCACAATGTATCTGCTAAGAAAGCCAAATGGCAATGTAATATTTGTCTAACTGTAAACACTATGAACAGAGAAACTTGCATGTGTTGTGACCATTATGTTTTAGATTCAGTAACATCGGTTTCTAAGTTTAATTGGGGACACAATAAAAAATTTGCTACAAAATTTGGACAGAAAGTGATAAAAAATGTCTCTGCATTTACAGATAATATTAATTTCAACATTGCATCTGAAATATATGATCTGGGAAAAACAAATGTAGAATTTAAAGTAAATTTTGCAAATCAAGTAAATAATAAACTAGATTTATCATTTTCTATGGAAAAAGAAATGAATGAACAATTGCCAACTAAAATATTTGAAGATATGGAGATTTCAGAAAATATTGTTACAACTGTTGGTAGGGACATAAATGTTGGACAAAGTATTGACCAAAAATTGGTTAAAAATATGAACAATAATAACACGCATCAAGCATATGACTTAAACATCTCAAACTTAAGTTTTGACAATACAAATATGGAGTTTGAGGACATTTCTAATAAATTGCCCTTGATGCTCCAGTTCAATATTGGTAAAGGATCTCAGGATGAAAAGAAGAACTTGAGACCATTCAAAAAAGCTTCGAGAAGAACTTCTAAACAGTAAATAATTGATTGCATGTTGAAGAGGATATAAAACATAAGTTATATTTAAGTTTATAGGTTAGATTTAACATATTATAAGGTCAGAAAAGTAAAAAATATGACATTGCAAATTACTTACACTGATATGTTGTTTAGAATTTCCCATCCTATTAATTTTTTACCCCTATATACTTTTATTTACTTTATTTCTGCTTTGTTTTTATGTTAATATACAAACCACTTTACCTACATATGTAATTTATGTTATGAATCCGCTTCAACCTTTCCCTTTTTTTGTTGCAGATGAATCTCCTACACAACTATACTGGGAACAAAATATGTTCAAAATGCTTAGATCATGCTATTATTTCGTACATATTTACAAACAGAATTCGATATATACGGCAAAGACTTAATATTTGCCTTACAAATATGTTAGAGAATTTAAATAATTTACCGAGAGTCGAAGACAAGATATTTATAGAGATTGCTGATAATGGTATCATGCCTATACAGCAAGATGATTTTGATGACAATTTGTTACTAGATGAGAAAGAAATTGATGAGAGTAAACTCCAAGTTCAAGTTTTAGAAGACGAATTTAGAATAAAGTCGGAAAGTGAAAGTGACGAAGAAGAAACTAGTCTTAAAAACGAATCAAACGGTAAAAAAATTCTTAAGCAAACGGTAACAGAAAATAAAGAAATATTAGTTAATGGTTACCAAAAAGTAGATGTTGACAGTAAAATAGTTGCAAAGAAAGGTGGAAAATCGAGGCCTTTAGTAAAATTTACATGTCCAATTTGCGATAAGCATTTCATGTCTGATTACTTTTTAAAAATACACATTTTGAAACATAGAATTAGAAGAACAACATGTAAAATCTGTTTATTGCACTTCACATCAAAGTTCAACTTACACGAACATATGAAAATGGTGCATTTGTTAAGCAAAAAAATGTGCTATGCTTGTAAAACTTGTGGCAGAGCGTTTTCAAGTGAAAGTAAAAAGAATTTACATGAAAGAAAGCATAAATCTAGAAGATGTGATCTTTGTTACAAAGTTTTTAGTTCACAAGCTAACTTTAATAAGCACATGGAACGACATGCAATGAAGTTCAACATACATGCACAGAATAAAAAACAAACGTGTAGTTTTTGTGAAAAAGAATATACGAATGATAATGAACTTACGATACATGTCAATAAAACCCATCTACAAATAAAGCCTTATTCTTGCGACATGTGTGAGAAACAATTTTATACACAGAAAAATCTGAAATGTCATAAAAAAGTGCACTCCTTGCGTTCAAAAGAAAAATGTGAATTTTGTTCAAAAGCTTTGAAATCCCGAAAACAACTCGTCATTCATATAAGAAAACATATAGGAATTAAACCGCATCAATGTTTATTATGTTCACAGATGTTCTATTCTGAGAGTTTAGTCATAAAACATATGAACAAATGGCACGGTGGTAGATTTTGTTGTAAATTATGCAAAAAGGTTTTTGTTAACAAGGTTGGGCTTAAAACTCATGTGAACATGGTTCATTTTTTCTTCTGATTGACCAATTATGATATCTGGATCACAATGAAAGCGTGGGCTTTATCTTATTGTGTTTATAAATTAAGTATTATTTATGGTCAGTGGTGGTATCTTCATTATTAAGGCCTTCCTGGTTTTTTTTTTGTTGAAATGATGAGGTCGACGATGGAGCATGCACACCTAAACAATGCGTATTCACTCTCGCCTTGAAAAGGTCCGAGTTATAACGTTCAGGGAACAAGTCTGCAGGCAGGGATATCCACTACATAGCCGTTCGCCATATAAATGTGGAAACGTAACGTTTCGTGCGAATCTTTGGAATATCCACAACATAGGGGTGGAAGCCAAGCCTACGCCTAGTCCCCCGATGATAAAAAGGGGAAGGCGGAATTAAATCGTGTAATTCCATCGCACACTCTCCGTGATACCTTCCTGTCCTATTACCTTTATAGTATTTGGAAGACTTTATGTCAGTGGCAAAGGTCTAAGTATATAACACGATTCTCAGCATGCATAAGAAAATGGTTAATCTAGGCATAAATAACTATACGAATCAACAATATTTTTAAAATTTATATACCATTTACAAGTCTGTTATCAACGAAGCCCCTAAAATGTCCCGGTTTCCTAACCCCAAAGATGTGGGTACCACTTTCTAAGCATTTGTAATTTTCATTGAAATGCAAAACATCTATTTCGTCCCATTTCCACGCAAAATGAATTCGTTGCAAGATGAAATGTAGGTACAGGGTCAAGAGTACGTCAAGCTCGACACTTAAGATTTAAACCCAACTCTATGCCGCTAACGACAAGAACGGTCCAAAAGTACAAGCTTGACGTGCTCTTGACTGTACTTAATCCATACTGCCAATGGACCCTACGCCAACCAAATTTTTGGGCCAGTCTTAAATTTTTCATAAATTCGTTTTTTGTTTTTGTTTTTTTACAAAATTCGGGGATCATAAAATTAGTAAACATATATGGCTGTTTGTAAAAATAACAGATATTGACCAAAAAATAAAGTTGGCACAGTGTTAATTGGAGCTATCGAAATTATGAACTCTGCTAGTGACATTTTTAAATAGCATGTCTAATTAATTAATTATTTTTAAATTTGCCATGGTTTTATTGCTGTTCTGTATGTATTTTTTTGGTGTTTACTGTGAGAATATATATATAAATAGAAATTTATCTATTAATGATATTTTTTTTATTATTATTTGAATAGATAAATTACTAGTTAACTTACAAATTCAGTGTCATTTTAATTGGTTACTGGTTAATTGAATTTTATTGTAATTATTATTAATACAAACAAATTCATTTCACGAAATTAAATGAACATCATGGTAATAAAACATTATAATATTCATTATTACAATCAATTAAACTTTATTTTCCAACTTTTCTATTTAAACGAAAAAATGTTTTGCATTGCAGCATTTGTTAGGTACCATTCGAACCGTCTTATTATATTGATAGACCTGTATTACACTTGATGTGTTAAAGATTGTATATTATTTTTCTCATTTTATATGGAATCTGCTGTAGCCTTTTCCTTACACGCTAACTTGATCAAAGGTCTCTGTGCTATTTCTCATTATTTACACTATTTGTAAATGCTAAGAGAATAAATAGAACTGTATTGATTATTTTCTGTTTTATTGCTATCTAAATAATTATTAATTAACAAAGAACTTTATGCCTACCTCTGTATAAAATAATTGTTTACACTATTTGTAATTATTAAGATAATAAAAAGGAATTAAATTGGTAACCTACTTTGTTTTTATTCATATACAAAGAATTACAAGTTACCAGAGACATTTTACCATCCCTACCTAAATAACTGCATCTGTTTAAAACCTAAGACGAGTGGCAAGGTATACATTTAAATACAATGATCTTGTTTAAATCTATATAACTATGTGTAGACCATAGATTTAGTAATATACAGAATCTATCCTGTAGGTGTAGACAATGTAAATAAAAACTGTCTCATTCAATTGAAACTAGATTTTATATTTTCTTCTCTTTGCAATTTAAGTTGCTGAAATCAAAACTTTGTATAGTACTTAGTAAACAGTAAATAAACAAATGAAAAATGTTAAGTGTATGTATTATACTGTTATCTTTGAAAGTGCATTATCAGGCACTAAGGCTTTAGACGCTTTAGTCTGTCCGAACGAAAATTTTACTACTGAAAATGCAACAAATTGATATTTTAAAGAATATAATATATTAGTCAGCATTAGAAGTTTGAACATTCTCCGATTTTCTCCCTCTCTTCCGTTTCACTTCTCCCCCGCCATGGCAGTCTCCTACATGCCTCCTCAAATCACTTTTAGTATAAAATGTCTTGTGACAGAGTTCGCATTTTACGCTCGGTTCAAAATGCTTCCGAATCATATGTTGTCGTCTCCTACTAGCAGACAAAAACCTTTGTTCACATAATTCACACGGGTAAGGCTTTTCGCCCGTATGTAACCTTGTATGCAATACCAGAGCTTTTTTACTTATGAACTTCTTACCACATATGTGGCAGTATAACTCTGGTCGTTCTGAATTATGAGTTGATAAATGACCTCTCAATGTATAATCTGAATAAAAATTCTTTCTGCAAATCGTGCACTCGTAAGGACGTACTTGTAAATGGAATCTGTTAACATGAGCTTCTAAACATACAGAGAATTTTGTTTTGTAAGGACATGATTTACAAACTTTCCATCTTTTCCCATCAATCAAATTGTGTGTTCGTAAATGTTTCTTGTACAATACAAAGCTCACAATTTTGTTGCAATGTACACATTGTTGACACTCACTATGTTCTTGACTGTGTTTTATTAATGCTTTTTCATTGTGCAAAGAAATACCACATACGTCACATGAGATTTGTTTTCCTTTTTTATACGAGTCTGATGATTTTTCTGTCTTGCTTTCTCTCATGTGTGATTTTAAATGTCTAGCAATAGTATGTTTAGTATACTTTTTAAAACATATAGGACATTCTCTATCATAGTTAATTGTATGCTTTCGAACATGAGAGAAATATACATTCTTTGAAGGAAATGTATCCCCACAAGTACGGCACTTGTGTTCAGTACCTTCCGGATGAGAAGCAATATGATTCAGGAATTCTGGTCGTGAATTAAAATCTTCTGGGCACATAGTGCATTGATAAATGAAACTTTTGTTGTTTAATTCTTCGGGGTGTTTAATCTTTAAATGCAAATTTAAGCGTGCTATGTTGCTGTAAGTGTTTAAACAATACAAGCATTGAGCTTGTTCACTTAAATGTTTTCTCATATGCTTGCAATAAGCTACTTCAGAATCAAATTGATCTCCACATTGATCACATTCTGTAGTACATTCATCAAAGCCATTTTTTGTTGGGTTAAGAATGTCTATATCAACATGTTTCTTATACATATGCGCTGTAAGATGCGGTTTGGAAGGAAAATTATCTCCACACAAGTCACATAAAAATGGAAAATGTAACAAATGTTCCTCATTGGCGTGACAGATTAGTTGACTCCTTGTCAAATACATGAAATCACATTTGATACATTTGAATTTCTTCTCCATTGCCAAGTACTGCTCTCTGTAGGATGCCAAATATTCTTCATGAAAACAATTGTCCACACATTCTAAGCATTTAAAAAGACATCTATGATGGTTTAGCTTGAATTCATTGATGAAGTCTTTAAAGCAATATTGGCATTGGACGTGTGCATGAATTGTTGAAATGTGCCGTTCTAAAGCAGATTTAGTCATAAAAGTTTCTTTACAGGTGTCACAAATAAATGTTTGATCGTTATGAACATTTTCATGTTCTTCTATACCTTCCCCGTGAACAATAATTTGACATGTGTTACAAAATGAAACAGATTCTGAATGATCTTTGTCTCTGTGATTAATATATTTTTCAAAAACACTGAACTTCTTCCCACATTTTGGACACTTAAATGCTGTTTCAGAATGGCTAACTAAATGTGTTTTAAGAGATTGATAATCATTGATCTGTTTACCACAATATGGGCATTCATATTTCAAATAATTATTTACTTGCTCTTCTAGATTATTGGACAAGTCTAAATCATCTACTTCACATAAAAATATTTGTGTTACATTTCCATTCTCGTTATACTGGTCGGCTACAGTGACCGTAGATGGCACATTGAGACTCGTAACGTTGTCTATCGTTAACATCAATTGTTTCTGCTCATTTTTCATTGAAATACTGTGTTCTGCATGTCCTGATATGATAGTGAAATATTTGTGAAGAACTTTGTAGTTGTAACGAATGTCACTTATCATACGATGAGCTTTCAGTATATTTGTGACACATGTGCTGCAGAGATATGATGCTGCCAGGAGGTTTGAGACCTGGAATTGAAAAGTAATGGATAATGCTATTTCTTATATCTTATCTTTAAAATACCTCTCATCAGTGGAGTAATTGTCAATCATTTCTGTTTCTGTGTGCAGTAGCTTAAATGTGACATTTTCAAGTGTAAATTTATTTTGTCTATGGAATAAATAATCTTTGACTTTGACTTTGTTTAGTTCCTGTTGCGATACAATATTGATGTTTTCCCTTTTGATCTAAATAACTTTGTCAAGGTCTTCACCTGCATCTCTTTTTTTCCTTGTATAATAATATTTGTGTTCTATCGAATGCTCAAATAATAATGTAACACAGATTTATAGCCCCGCACTACGAAAATCATGTATCGCAACAGGTGCCATGGACATACACATAGACAATGATAAATTACACCCAAAGTCATGAGAGAAATAAGGGAATCAAACCTGGGAACTCTGCTTGGCAGACCAGCAAGGTGACTGTTCGACCACAGAGGTGGTAGCATAAAAATATCTTTGACAAAATGAATAATGCTAATTCTGTCAATGTTTTATCATCTGTAATTTAATCTTCATTGAGAGAGTTTGATGTCAAAAAATAATGTGTGTAATCCATTACACTAATGGGGCCACTATCTCCCTCTATTTCGACATCAGCTATCTGAGTGTTAAGCTAATAGTTTAATAATAAAAACATACCTGGTGTCCAAATGTATCATCAATTATATCCTTCAACAAATATTCCTTAGCGGAATTTTCAGTTTCTATGCGATAAATATCATTACAGTGCATCATCTCCTGTTTATTCGTTAAGCACACGCCACATACTTTATTCAAAAACAGCAATTGCTCTATCTTCTTTTTCCATAATTGCGTTTTTGAATTATTTTGATTGGAAGTCATGGTTGTCGAGGTTATATTATTTTGTTGTCAGTGTTAGAAGGCATTCAGACGGTATTTAAGAAAAATTGTAGATGCGTATCATAATTAATAAATACGAAAGTACAGAAGGAAGATAATACCAATTTATTACCACTTTGCACTTTTTACTTAACGTTCACACTTTGACTTTGACAATGACAGTAGATGTGTGTCACTGTCGATCGTGTTCGATCGAACCAAAACGATTCGAACAGCACCTATGACCCGATGACCCGGTTACTAAATAACCCGATCATTTTAGAGTTTATAGGTCATGCACGCAATATTCTCCTTTATTGTTGTAATTTTAGACATTATTCAACAACTCCCAATATTATTGTTGTCTCGTTCGCTCACGCGAAGTCCCCAATCACGACACGGTTCGCCTTCTCACTCTTCGTTTGGGTCATTTGTCACGTGGAACATTTGTTCGATAGAGCATTCGTTTAATAGAACCTTCGTTCGAGTCAACGGGTTAACGGATCAATGACTCTATCAATGTATCAATCATTCATCTTAATTGCTCCGTGGTGTAGTGTCCATTACATGGTAATTTTGTAATTTTAATCCGTTTTTCGATATGTTGTGTTTATTTAATGGTGCATCATTAGCTAATATTAATTAATAACAGATTAATAATTTTGAATGCTCTTAACATTTTGTGTTACATATTTTTGTTTTGTAACACCGTTAGTTTTCCTAGAAGAAAAATTTTAGGGTCGTATTCCAGAACTCTACTCAATGCTCAAGCCAGGATTTGAGCAGACTTGAGTATTGTAGAGGTGGGTGATAAATAACGTCACGATGAAAAAATCACGATGATCCGCTGTCACACAGTATCACCGTGACTCGTTCCGAAGGAACGACGTTCCAGAGTCACATAGGTGTTCCTCCGTTCCAATAGCTATCCCCGTCACTCACATCACGACATACGTATTTGATACAATGCGCGATCTCCGTTCCGTGGTGACTGAGCGCGCCACTTGTTGTAGTTCTCTTCAAATCAGGCCATTTCGGCGATGGGAGTGAATGAAATAGGATGACTTTCTTTGCTCACTCATAAGGGTCGTAGGTGCTTATATTAGTAGAAAGGGCGGATGAAAAAATCTGCAGCAGTTATTATAAACCTATTTATGAACAAAGTAAAATATTTTTGTATATTAGTTTTATTATAGGAAGAGTTGGTATTTTATATTTATGTGTAATCTACTTTGTGTATTCTACTAGAAATATGATTACATTACAGTTTATTGCTATTTTTAACAATCCGAAGATTCGCATTAAATAAGTAACAAACAAAATTACATTAAATAAAAAATCAACTTTTTGAATGGAATTGAAAATTTTTCAATGCCATTTTTCAAATTTTAAATATTTTTCAATGCCAGTAAAAACTGTCCATAGTGTGGAGCAACATTTGTTTGGAGACCTTAGGGCTAAGACGTATACTGTGGCTGGGCAGCTGCTAACCATGGACTCTCGACAACACTGGATTTCCTCTCCTCTGACCTTTGCATTGGTCAAGTACCTATCTACAACTGTGCTGTCATCAGCATACGCAAAGGTACCTGAAATTAACATATCATTGATATGCAGCAGACAGAGAGATGCAGACAATATAATACGGAACCCTGAGGAACTCCAGCGATCTATCGCCATATGTACGGAAGAGTAGCCTTCCAGTTCCATTCGAGTGGTCTACTCAAGAAATCCGAGATCCAATTGCAAAGGTCAGCCCATAACATGGAAGCTTGCTTAAAAGGCCTCGCATGCCAGACCCCGTCAAAGGCTTTAGAAATGTCCTAAGACACTGCAAGTGCTTCGCCTTGCTTTTCTATAGCCTCGCTCCATATGTGACAGGCATACACAAGAAGATCCCCGGTAGATCGTCGGAATCCATACTGGCGATCACTGAGGAGGTCATTGTCTTCAAAATATGACAGGAGACGGTTGTTGAGTACACGTTCCATAGTCTTGCAGAGTATGGAAGTGACTGCGATAGGTCTATTATTGACAGTGTCAGCTCTACTTCCATTTTTGAGCACAGGTTCCACGTTTGCAAGCTTCCACGACCTGGGAACTACACCAGTCTCAAGTGAGAGGCGATACAGGCGTGTGAGAACAGGAGACAACTCAGGCGCACAGTTACGTAGGACTACCGCTGGAATTCCATCTGGCCCGCTAGCTTTATTCACGTCAAGATTTCGCAGAGTTCTAAGTACCTGTTTTTGGCGTATGCGAACTGGGGAAATATATTTTTTCAAGTTTTCGGGAATTTTTCCGGAAAAATTTCCACCATTTGAAATTTTTCAGAAAATTATCCAACAGCACCTTATACATATAGTATATATCTAAGCATTATACTATAAAGTTTATACGCTAATGACTCTGTGTCCAATAGGATACTTGCCAAAAAGGGAAGGAAAAGTACTCAATACCGAAAAGTATCGATACTTTTCCGGGTCCCTATCCACATGTTTTCCAAGGGTCCGTAATTTACGGTAAGGGTAAGGGTAAGTAATTTTCAATTTGAAAGTTCCATGTTGTACATACGTAAATAGAAATTGAAGTCACGTACGCACGCACGCACGCACGCACGCGCATACGCACACACACACATACACACACACACACACACACACACACACACACACACACACACACACA